TCATCTTCGAAGCTTGTACGACCAGATTTAAAAAGAGCTCGTTTTTTCATAGTGGAAAGTGAAGCTGATGTATCCTTTTAACAATTTCGAATGAATTTCTGTTGGTGTTAAACCATCCAAAACAAAGAATTTAATCACTGCACGGTATTCAATTTTTTCCATTTTAAAAAAGACAATGACACATCAATATTAAACTGGTGCTACTACTCGAATGACTTGACAGATCGAAATAAAATTTTACATGGGTTTATATTAGGGATGCCACTTTCCAATACAATTATATTAGGAGTACAAATAAGTTTCCGCCGTTTGACAAAAGATGGCCCTACCAGAAGGTTATGTTGAAATTGTCAGATGTTCCCCTCGGGTTCAGCCGACGGCGATTGCGCGGTATCGCACAGCGCTGTGCGCGAAGGGCGCCAGTACGCGATCTGAATCGCTATAGGAATAGGAGTGTAAAAAGCCGAGCGAGTATGACGACACACAAAATAAGTTTATTCTATTGTACAAAGAAATAGCCGTACACGGCGGCGAACAATCGAGCGATCAAGCAGCGCTCGCGGACGCGACGTTCGCTGACGGCGCACGAAAGATGGAGACAATTGCAAATCGGGCAATGCAAGCCACGCAAAGGAATGCACGTTAAACGCGGCGAGTGCTCGATGTACCAGTGGGTACGCGATCGAGCGTCGGAGAGTGGCGTGCAACCCAGGCGCGAAGAACAGAGCAACTTCCCGAAATCGCAACCGAGTGCAACGACGAAGTAATAGCACCGATCGTGCGAACAGAAAACTTAGTGAAGATCGCGCTCGCTCTATGAAATCGAAAGTAAAAGACCGCTCGGTAGAAAAAACAAATAAGCAGAGAGAGCGATGAAATCTCGGTCTCAATTATATCCTTTTTTCAGCTCGAGCTGGCAGATAAGGATTGGCTAAAATTCGTTGGCCGTAACACGCCGTGATCGTATGCTCGGGGTCTGCCCGACATACACGGCAAATACGCGGCAATAAACATTGTTTCGAGCGTTCCTCGCCAGGGATCCCGTGGCCCAACGTTCGGCGACGAGATCCCCGTTAACCGAGCACGCATAGATCACGCGCAAGCTTCGTGATGTCAACGCTAGCAGAATATTTGAATTCTTCTAGAAAACTTCCGTGCACGCTATGACCCCGAACATCAGATGTAAAATGTAATATCGTAAGTTTGGACATCTGGTAACAACATAACCTTAAAGTATTAGTGACTCCGTATCAGCATCATATAATTTTTTTCGTGCGAAAATGTCAAGTTTTGTGCCAAATAAACGTCATTTGCGGGAACTTTTGATTTACTTCTTTAATTTGAAGAAATCTACAGCTGAGGCACATCGATTGCTTGTAGAAGCATATGGTGAGACTGCTTTAAGTGAGAGAAGTTGTCGTGAATGTAGTTTCAAAAGTTTAAAAACGGTGAGTTTGACGTGGAAGACAAAGAACGTAGTGGAAGGCTGAAAGTGTACGAAGACACGGAATTGGAAGCATTATAGGAGGAAGAACTTGCACTTACATTAGAAGTGACTCAACAAGCAATTTCATATCGTTTAAAATCGTTGGGAATGATTCAAAAACAAGGAAATTGGGTTCCATATGAACTGAAGCCGAGAGACGTTGAACGCCGATTTTGCATGTGTGAAATGCTGCTTGCCAGGCACAAAAGAAAGGGTTTTTTGCATCGTACAGTCACTAGTGATGAAAAATGGATCCACTACGATAACCCAAAGAAGAGAAAATCATGGGGACCACCTGGCCATGCTTCAACATCGACAGCCAAACCGCATATTCATGGAAAAAACTCATGCTGTGTATTTGGTGGGATCAGCTTGGTGTCGTGTATTATGAGTTGCTCAAACCGAGCGGAACCATTACTGGAGCTCTCTACCGAACACAATTAATGAGATTGAGCCGAGCACTCGAGGAAAAACGCGTCCATTACTACTCCAGACACGACAAAATTATTCTCCTACATGACAACGCTCGGCCACATGTTGCAAAATCGGTCAAAACCTACTTGGAAACACTTAATTGGGAAGTCCTACCCCAACCGCTGTATTCACCAGACATTGCCCCTTCCGATTATCACTTGTTCCGGTCGATGGCACATGGCCTGTCTAAACAGCGCTTTACATCATATGAAGATACTAAAAATTGGGTCGATTCGTGGATAGCCTCGAAAGATGAAGAGTTTTTCCGACGTGGTATCCGAATGCTGCCAGAAAGATGGGAAAAAGTAGTGGCTAGTGATGGACAATACTTTGAATAAAACGTAATGTATCGTTCTTTCACAATAAATTCCTAATTTTTGATAGAAAACGGCGGAAACTTATTTGTACTCCTAATAGTTTGACAGTTTCTAATGCCATCTATGTGTCAGGCCGAGAACTTTTCAGATTGCCCTCGTATATGATGCATGTCTCCGGGAGGGCGTGTTCCCCAAGTGCTAAAAGAGACAAAAACTGGTGCTGCTGCATAAAGAAATGAGCTCCGTGAATGACCCCATTTCATACCGACCGATCTGCATGCTGGATGGTACGGATAAGATTCTGGAGCGCATTATCCATAATAAGATTGAGGAACATATGAATGCGAACATTGGTCTATCGCAGAACCAATACGGCTTTAGGAAGCATCTCTCTACCATCGATGCAATGAGCCGAGTCATCGGAATTGTAAGAGGCAATCTCGGAAAGACGGTGGAAAAGTAGATCCAAAAATTATTACGCCATCATTACGTTGGACATACGCAACGCTTTTAACTCGGCCAAGTGGGATCGTATTTGAAGCACCCTCTCTCGTTTGGGCCAAGATGTGGTTATTTTCAATTATTAATAACTTAATAACTATTGCGATTTTTGCAAAATATTACATGACTGACACTAGAGATCAACCTGTCGGATAATTTTAGTTTAATCTAATCGTTACATTTTAACCTAACACGATGCAATATTTATTTACAACACGAACATACTGACGGAAAGACGTTCCACTAAATCAACGCTGTTGAAGATCCAAGATAGCGCAAAAAAGTCATTACTAATAGTCATACTAACTTACAGATCTAAACCAAAATACTGCAAGAACACTTGATAAGTCAGATATAGAATAAAGGCGTCTAAGGTCGTGTCAGTACCCAATCAGAACCACAACGTTAATCCGACATCGATGAAGGTTGAATTAATGTTGATTCAACATTTCATCGACCATTTCAATGTCAAATCAACGTAGAATCAACGTTTTGGTTCTGACTGGGTAGTTAAGTCCTAGCCGAACTTGAAAATCACTCTAGCAGAGTTTGAGGAATAAGATGGGAAGCTGTCCACGAAGCTGTCCGCAAGCCAAGGTCACTTTAAGGCCAAATGATGCTTGAAAATTGGCGATAGGCGCCGTCTGAAAACGATCTTCGTCGTTCCAGAGGTCAAGCTTTTGTCGGACTTGAAAATAACGTGAGCAGAACTCTAAGAACAAGACAAGAACTCTATAGAGCTGCAAACCAAGGTCAAACGACACTCAGAAAATAGCGCTAGACGCCGAACGAAGGTGACCACAGCTGTTCCGGAAACCAAGTCTTTGCAGGAGTTAGAGATTGCCTGAGCGGAATTCAGAGAGCAAGATAGGAGCATCACAAAGCTACTCGATAACCAAGGAGAAAACGGTATATGAGGGAAGGCTATCGAAATCGATCTCAAAGCCGCTACTAGAAACGAACAATAGGAACACATAGAGAAACCAATGAATCTGAAATCATTAGCCTCAACCCAGCAGATGTATCTAGCGCTGCCTTCAATTTTGCAGAATATATAGAACAGTGGTTCGGGTCTGTGGTTCTCCAAAAATGACAGCTTAGCAAAGCTCAGAGTCATATCGGATAGGATAGGATAAGCGTACAACAAATCACGTAGATAAAGTAAAGGAAATGTCACAGTCGGCCATGCGAAGACGAAGAAGTAATTCAGCGCGTTAAGGTCATCACATCACGCATATATGAACACACATACGCACACACATACACATGCACCCACATTTTCTTTAAGATGTAACAGTAAGTTTCTCAATCAATCGCATAGCTTTTCTTCTTCTTTTTATTATTATGACCCAGAGTGGCGCTTTATTGAATAGTCGCGCTAGTTGCGTAGCTCAGATAGTAAGATTACCGACTACAGAAGAATACGATTTTTTGAAACTTTACCGTTATGTCTTGTAGTAAATTTGGTCGCTTGCACTAGTGCAAACTGAACTTTTTAACTAATAAAACGACCCATACGTATATTGTACGGATAATTTTAGTGACTAAAAAGTATTTGAAGATGTATTTAAGATGATTTTTAAATATAAGAACGGACTATAGACAGGCCTTAGCATTAGTACTAGCACTTGTACTAACACTCAGTGTGCACTAGTACAAGCGACCGAATTCACTATTAGAAAACATGTGTAATGGCTTTTATATTTCCAACCAAGTAAATCTTACTGCAAGAAATCGTTGGTGCGGTGGGGACATTCGATTACGCCTTGTCGCGGCAACGAACAACGCCCAACTGCATGCACGGGACATCATGTCAATGGAATCCGCGCGCTCGCTAGGGAGAGAGCCGTTACCCTGTAGCCGGTTGCCTTCATGCATCGATCTACTAAATGGTACTTGCCGCCGCACGAAACATTATGCAAAATGAAATTGTTTTAATGTATTTATTTATTAAATATTTATTTATTTATAATAATTATTTAAAAAAATAAAATAAAATAAATTTCGAAAGCCTTTGATTAGTTTCTTTTAATTTTGGCATTGACTTTTGACTTTATCCCGTATTTTGAGTTTCGACTTAGATTGGGTTTGGCTTTTATTTCGATGTTTCCTCGGATTTTGGTTTTGCTTTTCATTTTGATATATTTTCATTAAATAAGTAATAGCATAAACATGACAACACAATACATGTATATGATATATGACGCAGATCACATCACATCTGGCCACAAGCAATAGAACTGATCGGATCATCCGTGGCACTTGCAACAGCGGCCGAGCTGCACCGTGCGTGACGCGCTCGGTCCTAAAATAAGCTGTATCTTGAAAACTAAAAGTCTGCCCATTTTAATCTTGGAATCATTTTAAAGGGCAAGAATTCTACTTTTTTTAAAGATATTTTCGAAGAAAATCAAAGATGTCTGAATTTGAGAAAAAACAATTTCTTTCTTATCCTTCAAAAATTTTAAATAAATTTTGACTTAAAAACAAAACTGATTTCATAGGATTAAAGGGCGCAAAAATACCTTTAGAAATCACTCCTTGTTTTTGAAAATCGGAATAGTCTACTGGAACTTACCGGCGTTTGAAGTTGGACACAACGGCCCAAATGCTAAAACTTCAAGCCTCTGTTACTAAACAACCTGTTGGTCGTGAGTCAAACAATTTGGCCAAAAATCTTAGTTGTGATAGGACTATAATTTGTGCAAATTTCAGCATAATCGTACAACTTTGAAAATTTGAGTGTATCACTTCATATGGAATGCCCCCTATATATTCTATACTGGTGCATATGAATCAGTAGTTCACACTGAAAGAAAAGAAATTAGAGGCAAAATAAGAATACTCACTTAGCGATAAATCATGCTAGCTCGCCTCATGTCTGTTGCTGCAATTGTCTCCTTGTAGTAAGATAAGGACATAAGAGATTAATTGTCCGTCTTTATCTAATAGCATATTCGAATAGATCTGAATTAATCAACCCGAACTCGATTAAACCCAGATTCTTAGGCCAAACATGTACAGATTAGGTTTGTGATTGGGCTCGTAGAGCCTTATGACATCGAGTCGATTAACCTAAGTCCACTTGAATATATGCTATAACTCATCTCACTCATTGATATAGTTCAGAACAAAACCAAATAATCGTGAAAATTAAACCTGTTACCCATCAAGAAGATTCGTGAATATTGATTATGTAGTTTATATGCGCGTCTTATGCAAGTAGCAACGCTTCACATATGTATATCAGCTAAAACTAGCTCTTATAACTTTTCTTCCACTTCTCTCTGCTTTACGATCAAATTATACAGTTTATAATAATATAGATTTTAATAATTGTAAGGGAAAAATTATAATAAAAATACTATAATCATTATCTCTGCCGAAATACGATTCAAATACAGTTCGTCAGATACAGTCAAAATCTATTCTTCTTTAAGTAGTATAACTCGATGATTAATAAATTCCTTTATTTCCAAATTTTATGAATCCATAATAAATTAAAAAGCTTATATTTTTAAAATTTATATTTGGACTATGAGTCAAAGGATTATATTATTTTAAAATAGAATGATTCAACAGCAGAAAAAAAGAACTTTCACGTTATATATAAAAGTTAAACTATTCGTTCTTGATCAAAAGTAGATAAAATTTGATGAGTTACAATTTTGACAAAAGCGATTACAATGTTCAGAAATATTTTATAAGTTTATGTCTCTCTAATTTCTAGATATATAAAAATCATTTTGTTACTATTATTATTATTACTATTATTACTATTGTTACTATTATTCATCAAGACATATAAAATGTGAAATTCAAATGTACTAGAACAGACGCGCGCGTTGTTTACCTTTTATACTATATTAAAAAGAACACAATATTTGCATAATAAAAAAAATAATTGCGGTTCGAATAAATAAATTTTAAAGTCAATCAGTTCAGTACTCAAAAAGCTGCAAAATCTCATGAAGTTTAACCACGAACTGTCAAAATGCACGACGGTGCATGTGCAATGAAATAAGGCATGACGCGATAACCTATCAACAACGCGGAAAAAAGGCTTCAACATTTTGACACAAATTCGATACATTTGATCATATGCCTTTCTTAAAAGTTCTGAGAAAAGAATAGTAATTGTTCTAAACTTCTAAACTTCATGTTTCTAAACTTCATTTTTCGGTTAAGTTTTTACACAGAAAACTGAAGTGCACTAGAAATTTAACAAGTACATTATAAAAAGAAAACTGTAATCTTTTCTATTTTTTTGCAATTTATATACTAATTGAAATATATAAATATTTTACGAAGATTATATATCAATTTATTGATTTCCTATGTGCAATAAGAAACGAAAGAACTATTTTTGCTCCAATACCGGTCTATCGAAAAAATCAACAAAAATAAATTATGCTGCAAATCGACGATATATAAATTAAAAGGAAATATCCACATTTACAATACAGTATAAAAATTATGCTTCCACATTGCCCTAAGAAAGAAAAAAACTTTATATTAAAAATATCTAAAAACTAGAAATTCTCTCTCTCTCTCTCTCTCTCTCTCTCTCTCTCCCTCTCTCTTTCTCTCTCTAGTAAGCTTTAAGCTATAAAATATTTCTGAAAACATCTCATTATGTCTTTATTTTTTTCAAAAGTTACAGTCCATCGAAAACTGTTTTCCTTGATCAAGGAAATTGAATCTTTGAATTAAATTTTTTAATTGAATTGAAATTAAAGATTCATTTTACACTTGGATTTACTTTACCTTATTTTTATTAGTTCCAAAGGTTTTACTACCACGATGTTTGACAGAGAATTAAGGTCATTGCACAATTCCATTACGGATCAGACGGATATTATTTTACTTTCAAGTACTACGATTCAACGGCAGATCCAGAGAGACTTTTATTTCCAAATGATATAACACACTCAATGACGATTCGGACGGATCTTTATTTTCAAGTAGCACGTCTGAAGGATGGATTAGACGGATCTTTTTATCTTGTGTTGTGTTCTTGATAACGTTCTTGAGATATGAAATCCTTTTCAGCATTCCAAAACTAGGATAGGATCGATATTAGGATCAAAGATGGTTGTTTGAAAGCAGTTTAAAACATGTGATTGCCGTTTGCAGGAAATTTGCTGGAATAGCTTAGATGTCACGAGTGATTAGGAACACGTTGCTACGTGAAAGTGCTTTATTCCTTTCGGAGATCGTTCATCGCAGACAATGGCGTTGGGAATGCCGCTTTCATTTATCGCGCAATATGTGTGCACGCGTGCACGAACTCGCGCGCGCACGTGCACGCGTATGCGTACATATATTTATATACACATATATATCTCTGTGTCTTTATATTTATATATAAATATACATACCTTCTAATATAAGCGACCCTAATTATCGAGTAAAGTACCGTCTGATATTAAAAAATACGCATGTATATATACATATACAATTACAACACACGCCAGGACGGCAGGAATCCTGGTCCAGCGAGACCTTAATAATGCTTTTTTTTTAGAACGAAGGTCGAAATGTACAGTATACATATTTTACATACTTATCGTTTCAGCAATAACAATTTTATTGTATATGTAGATTTGCAAAAATTAAATAAATCATGACAGTGATACATCGCGTATTGGACGGAAGGGCCCAAAACACTGCGCAGAGATGTGAGAGGAAATCATAGATTTAAATTCGGTCAAGGTGCGACTGCTTCTGCGTATAATCTGTTATTTTTACTTTTTCAATTTCTCCCTCATTCTCTCACTCTTCCATTCCCTCTATCTCACCCCGCTCGCTCCTACCTTTCTCCATTCCCTCCCCTTCACCTCTCACTCAATTAGTTTATCTCTCCTCCTTCTCTTACTATCCCCTCTCTCCTCTCCTCTGCTAGTCACCCTGTTGCTTTTTTCTTCTCTTTCAAGCATGCGACACGCACGCACGCACGCACGCACGCTTGCATATACGCACATATGCATACATACACGTAAGCACGCACGCATCCTCTCCCTTTCAGTCACTCTTACTCTATCCGTCGTTCTTATCCGTTGATAAAAGTTGTTTAGCTCGCATAAAAAACGGAGAGTTTTACGTCTTGATTTGTGTGAATATATTCACTGAAGATCGGGGGAGGGCTTTTGTGATAATCGCGTAGATTGGAAACAGAGTCTCAGCTTATAAAATATCTATCCCTTGGAAGCATGCCCAGTAATATCAGATAAACGATATCATATCCAATTTCTCTATTTGATCCTCCTGCATTAACCGTCATGTAGTAATAACACGGCTTATGTAATTTCTCTCCCAACTTCTTGTTTTTTTTCTGGTTTCTCTCGCGTCGTTTATGTCCTGCTCCTTTATATTACAATAATTAACATCGTCACGTACAGCCTTATACACTAACGATATGACTACAGCTCCAAACCAGCAGAGCGTTCATCGATGAAGAAGTGAGAAGAATAATTTACGAATGTTTTTCTCTCTTTCTCCCTCTCTCGCTCTTTCCATTCTTTCCTGTCTCCCCCCCCCCATCCCATTCTCACCTTTATCATTCTTTCTCTCTCTCCCTCCCTCTCACTCTATCTTCCTCGTTCTCTCTCTCTCTCTCTCTCTCTCTCTCTCTCTCTCTCTCTCTCTCTCTCTCTCTCTCTCTCTCTCTCTCACTCTCTCTCTCTCTCTCTCTCTCTCTCTCTCTCTCTCTCTCTCTCTCTCTCTCTCTCTCTCTCTCTCTCTCTCTCTCTCTCTCTCTCTCTCTCTCTCTCTCTCTTTTCCACTTACCCGATTGATAAGACTGATATGCCAATTTATTTATAAAATGTTACAAATTTTTTATGAGCGCTTTCTCGCAGTATGTATACGCGGGCTCGGGATGGCAAAAGTCGAGGTCCTGCCAGTTATAGATATTTCCTGATTGTCGATGTCATATCATCGCTTCTGGACATGACAAAAGTCGTTACCTCTTTCGGCCAATCAGCGAAAGAGTCTGACTAAAGCGTCGTTGCTTACGCTGTAATGGGAAAGTAAAGCTGTGCGCACCTCCTAGAAGGCGATATTATTTCGCTATCACCACCACAGATAACGAAGAAATCGACATTCAAGAAATATCGAAAATACGTTGCCATCCCGATACGATAGCTCGCGATCGTTCCCGAATTTTGCGGATATTAGCAGAAGTGAGGTGCCGCGTGAATTTAATTCTTCTAGTGGCTTTCGCCCTTCTATAGGCCAATCCCGCACGAGTCGCAATCAGATTAAAATTGAACCGCGATCGAGTCGTGATCGGTTTACAATGGGATCGCGGTTGAGTCGCAATCACAACAGGTTCACACTCGAATTACATTCGAACGCTAGGGGCGGTTCGACTTGCGCCATTCACAATAGGTCGGGAACCCCCGAGTAGCTCGAGGATCTCTGCTTGAATTTTCCATCGGAGACCGACTGGAAAACGAACGGCGACGGAGGATTTGTTCGTCGAGTTCTCACAATACATACGCGACACGTTGTTGCGCCGTGACTCGTGCGAAATCGGTTTTACTTTCTTCCCGTTTGCGATCGGGGAATTTTCGGCGCATGCGCCCGATTTGATTTCGTATCAGCGATCGTTCGACGTCGAACTATCTCTAATTAGCGATAATTAATTGGCAGCGAAGAACTCTTCAGTTATGCGAATCGGAGAGTTTCCGATTAACCGTTTGAGCGCGAGAGCATCTTCGAGTGTAATCAAATACAAGACTCTTACCACGCGCATTTAAAATGCTAAAATGCTGCTATCTGAATCTGAAGAATATAAAGATACTCAAGATACTCGGTATGAGTGTAAGATAAAAGCGAAAGTCGTATTTCTGACGCTAAATGTTATCGTGAGAATGTTCAAGATAGCCGCGACGACGGGCATAAACTCTACGAATAATTTCATGGTGCGAGGACATTGCGTGTAGTCCGATATGCACGGTTAAATCCGTAATCCCTCGAAAAAAAAAGAAAAGATGAAACAGGATTGCAAACGTTACATATTTCGTGTACATATCCGAAAAACCGAATCGACGGTATACTTCGGCAATCAAACGGTTAAGTCGCGCATAAGTCGCATTCAATTATCCTCAAAACAAGAAGAATCGAGTATTCTCTTCGTTCATTTACTCTGCGATAGTCATCGCTATAACATTAATACGAATAATTAACTTCGA